TGAGTTATGCTCCTGATTCTGCAGCTGACAGCTTCGGCAATAGGTATTTTAAAAGAAGGATTAGTTTTGCTATCTGGAAGCAAAATTTGTAGTGAAGTAGTGCTGAGCACAGTGTCAAGTAATGACTGTGTTATCATTGTCATGCTAGATTTGAACTGTTTTACTGAAGAAGTAAAACAAAAAAAACTTAATTATCATCTAGTAAACAGTTCTCATTTAACAGTTTTAAAAGTTTTCATGCAATTTCGAGGTAAAGATTGGTCTTTGAATGCCTGAGTAGGCATGTTGTAGTTATGTAGCATTTGCTGGAGCTGTTGTAGATAGAATTTACAAATTATAGCAAGTGTAACTTGCTATAGTGTAACTTTTAAGTTACATATGATTAAGAAAAGTTTTTGACATTGTAACTTCTTTTGCACTAAGAGCAGTTTTGTTTGTGTTTCTGTGTAATGACATTCAACCTGTCAAATCTATGAAGAACAAGTGATTAGAAACTGTATGCTCAGTTTGTATTATATTTAAATAGGTCTTTTTAGACATCCTTTGTCTTGAGATTACTACTTCTAGATGCATTTTGGAAAAAAAGGTTTTTTGCACAAAGGCTGATAATACATGATATATATGTGCTTGTTACAAGCAAAATACCTTTGCTCTGTTAGCAAGGTATTTGTTCTTGTCAAGTAATTTGGGAGAAAGCAAAGGCTATATCTAAGTGATAATTCTCTATTAGAGGAAAGGGGAAGAAAGGATTGGATGCACAGACTAGTTCTACATGAAATTCTAATTTCTACATTAGTTTTTTTCTCCATTTTGAAGGAGCTTTTTTTCTCCTTCAAAAAGGAGTTTCTGCCTTGTTGAAGAGCAATTGCATGTTACTCCTAATGGATATCTTTTGCAAACCATTTTTTACCACTTCTCTTCCTCTGCTCTGACCCACTTATCATTTTGGGAACCTGTTTCTTCAGGATGATCTGTTGCTCTTCTGGGGCTTGATGTATTGGTGCGGGAGCCTACATAAAAAGTCAGAAATGCTTCTCTGAATTAGAACATTTAATTGTAGAAAATGAGGTACCTCATTTTTTGTGAGATGCTGGCTGTATTGTAAAAGATCCATTTGTAAATAGTTCTTCTCATCCTCCACGATCCTCTCAAAGATCTGCTCTACCAAATGCAGATACTTCATGAAAACACTTCATTCAGAGCCTTCTTGCTTCAAAGTGGCTTGAGCGTCCTTCCTTGCTGTAAGGGAATGGCCTGGTAAAGGTCCTGTTCCTCTTCAGTTGTTTTTCACTATGTTAATTAAGAATACTTGACAGGCTCTGGATATGCAGCTTCTGTTATGTGATCATCTTTTTGTAGTCATCTTTAACAGCCTACTAGGCTATGGCCTACAGCTGCAAAAGAGGAGGCGTGGGCCTTCCCACCACACACCAGTGTACGGATTGCTTCTCATTACACTCAGCCTCCAGTGTCTGCAGAGGGGATCTCTTGGGCATCCTCCAGAAATTGGAGTGGATCAGCATCTTTGAATGCCGTTAAATCTAGGGCCATCTAATTTTGTTTGTCATAAGTTGCCTTTATGCAGGCAGGTGACATGTGAGGGCAGTTTCCGAGTCCTCTGATATTGTGTCAGATCTTTGAGACCAGGTATGCTGCTGACATCTTGACGCAGCTCTGGAGTCCCTCCACTTGGCTGCTCAATGAGTGTGTAGAAGAGCCTCTGTCCCTATCCTCTACACAGGGATGGCTTTCAGTTAAACTTCAAATTTTTTATCATCTCCAGTATAAGAATTTTTCTTTAGGGAAAGCCTGGACTCAACTTTCAAGGTTTTTATGCTTAAGTCCGTGGTAGCAGGTGAAGGGGGTGGAAGGGGTTGGGAAAGGAGCTCTTTGTGTCATTTTCGTATTGGAGCCAACAAGACCATTTCAGGTTTCCCTTCTGCTTATTTACAGAGCCTTGTCTAGATAATGTGTGAGGAAACACCCTTTTTCTTTGCTGACTAGAGAGGATCAAAGCAGACAGTGCTCAGTGTAGGACTTCTAGGTAGCTCTTCAGCTGGGGAGATCATGTTGAGTTGAGGAAGCTATTACTTCACCTGGGTGAGTGTAGAGATGCTGCCTTCTGCTGTAAGGCTTTGTTGTGATGTTCTGAGGTTGCTCTGAGTTTTCTGGGAGCTCTGCTTTTCTCTTCACAGTCTTATTTTACAGAACAGATTGTCATACTTAGTTTGCAATTTATTTTTCCCCACATGATTTACAAAAATTTTATTGTCTAGGTAGACTTCCACAAAGAACCAAGGTGTGTATCTCTCATTGGCGCTGAGCTTTCTTCCTAAAAGAGTTTCAGTTTTAAGTGTCTGTGGATAATAAGATGTCAAATAGGTGTGAAATGTGAAAGGCTTGTAATTGCATCTGTGTTCTTGGGCTGCCGGTGAAGTTAGGCTTTAGTTTCTTTTACCATTTGCAAGGAGGCATGTAAGGTCAAAAGACAGTGTCTGGAACAGTGCTTGTTTGTTAGTTTAAAAAAAATATTTTCTTTCCATCTCACTTTAAAAAAAAATTGAATGGAGGAATTCCTATCCTGGAAAAATTGTTTTTCTCCAAAATCAAATGTCCAAATGCAAAAGCCTTCATCTTTCTGTAACTCATCATTCTCTTCTCAGCTCCTGTTCTGACTATGCCAGAAAATTTGCAGTAACATTCCTAGACTTCCTGATTATTTTTTTAAAATTTCTTATCAGATTCCTTTTAAATTTTGGTGGAGTCAATCCATCTGTCTTTCTTGTTTTCCTTTAGAGGAAAGACAGTTCAAAACCAATGAAGAAGAGTCCTTGCTGTTATAACTACTACAGCTTATGGGCAATATTTTGCCATTTTTGTTCTCCATGTCATTACAGTCTTTTTTTAGTGATATTTCTCAATTTGGAGTGTTGTTGAAGCTTTGTCAGGGCAAGGAGGGAGGAGAGCAGGAGAGCTAAGAGAGGGCCAGAGAGGGCTCAAATACGTCCTTACATTTGTTTCTGCTCCTTGGTGGTTTTGTAAAAATAAATACATTTAAAACTCAGTTTTGGAAGCTGTGAATGTGAGTCTGTTCAGCAGAATGAGTTTTTTCTTCAGAAATGTTGATGGAGATTCTAAACTAGTTTTACCAAACTCTAGTGACAGTCTTAAACTACTTCCATCCACGTATGTGCTCTGGAAGTGGGAAGCCCCAGTCAGGCTGCTGTCAGTGCTTTTCTCCCAGACTGTCTCAGTGCAGGCTGAACAATGTTCACCCTCAGCAGCTCCGCACTGAAGGTACAAGCCTGTGTTCATCCTAGTGATGCTGGTTAGTGCAGAGATGGAGTCACAGTCAAAATACAGGACGTAGAATTCAGTCTTGATTTCCAATTGAAAAACCTAAACCACCCCCCCTGCAAAAAACAAAACCAAAAACAAACCTCCACATTTTCCACTGCTATCTGAATTCTTACTCCTCAGCAGTTAAAATTGTTTCACTAATGAAAAATGCAATCTGCAGATGAAGGTTTTGGTTAGAATTCTCTACTGAACTTGGCATGTTCAAAAGAAGCAGGTCAAAAGAGGTTATTCTCCCCCTCTACTACAGACTCGTGAGACCCCACCTGGAGTACAGCATCCAGCTCTGGATCCAGTCCAGAGGAGGGCCACAGATGATCAGGGGTTTGGAGCACATCCCCTATGAGGATGGGCTGAGACAGTTGGGGTTGTTCAGCCTGGAGAAGAGAAGGCTCCGAGGAGACCTTTTAGCAGCCTTCCAGTACCTAAAGGGGGCCTACAGGAGAGATGGGGAAACACTCTTTATCAGGGAGTGTAGTGATAGGATGAGGGGTAACAGTTTTAAGATGAAAGAGGGTAGATTTAGGTTGGATATTATGAATAAATTCTTCCTGTGAGGGTGGTGAGGCACTGGAACAGGTTGCCCAGAGAAGCTGTGGATGCCCCATCCCTGGAGGTGTTCAAGGCCAGGCTGGATGAGGCTTTGAGCAACCTGGTCTAGTGGAAGGTGTCCCTGCCCATGGCAGAGGGGTTGGAACTCTATGATCTTTAAGGTTCCTTCCAACCCAAATTATTCCTTGATTGTGTGTTCCTATCTGTTCCTGCCTGTGAAACTTACTTACATAAAGTCCAGGGGGAAAGTTCATTTAAAACTTAAATTTCACAGCATTCATGTGGCACAGATGGAGCTGATATCTTGACCTGTTTTTCCAATATAGTTATCTGTTTGGCTGTATGATTAGCTTATCATTCTTGCAAATATCTCACCAAATGTTTGAAGGGAAGACGGAGTGTCTGTTACTTGTGGCTATTATAATTTTGTTTCTCTTTTCTTTTTTGCTTGCTGGAGCTGAGGCCACAGTTCTGCAAGTGTTTATATGTAATTTTATATGTGCAGTTGAAGGGCTTACTCATGTATACAGTTATTTCTGCATAAGGACTTCCTGGATTCATCAGTTAAATAGTTAAGACTTGATACAGGTTGCCAAACCACAGAGTTACCCAAGAGAATGGACTCAAGTGGTAACTTTTGCTATAAAATACAATGTCAGAACATGAATTTTCAAATAATCTGCACTGTGCTTCTTAAGCCTTTTTCCTTTCCTAGTTTCAAGTAGGTTGCTGGTAGGGTGAACTCACAGGTTCTTGGAAGAATAACTTCTACATATAGATCTGTTTGTGATGCTTATTTAAAAAAAAAAAAACAACAACAACAAAAAACAAAAAACAACAAAAAAACCCCCCAAAAACCCATAAGATTGCAGTACTGCTTTTTCCTGGGTTCTCTTAAAGTGAGAGTTAGTTAAACTCCTGGTAGATTTCCCTGCTGTGGTTTTGATGTGTTTCTGCGTGAAACTGACAGCAGGATTTGTTTGAGTATGTAGGCCACTATTGTATTAGAATTACATAACCCTGTTGAGTGGTGGAAACAGATGAAAACGGGAGGATGCACGGCATCTCCTCACAGATTGTATCCAGCAACAATGAAGACAGCTCAAGCTCTGCAGAGAATGTGGTCACATGCAGTCAAAAAGTTGGCGATTTTGAGAGGGCACGTGAGTTGCTTTTTGTTGCATCTTGCTCCAAGTCTTGTTCCCTCCCTCCCACTGTATATCCCTCCCCTATCCAGCTCACTTTTGTAGCCAGATGTATTGTGACAGGTCTACTGGTTTTGCTCTTCTTTCAGTGTGAGTGAAGTTGTCTTCGGTGATCTCTAAGTAGCAACTAATTGCATAAATCTCTAATGACTGTCAGTGAGAGTTGCAACAGCTGCCTGTTCATAGCATACAGACAATTTCATCACTTTGACTAGTTTCCTGACTAGATTCTGTTAAGCAGTCTATTTTGGGTATGCACTTGTCATGTTGGTGTATGAGCATTAGGCAGATTTAAGCAAATCTTGACTACAGTGTTCTAATTAGAAGTAGACTGACTTTAGTCACTAATGAATTTAGACTAGCTAATTACAGTAATTTGCATTTGCTGCAGGTAGCCCGCTATGAAACCTGGGTAAACTTGCAAAACAGTTACTATTAGTAACTGGAGGTGGGGTTCTTGACCATTTTGCCTGCCTGTCTCTCTCCAGTGTTTTGGTGTGCAATCTTGCTGTGAAATTGCAGTTGTGTAAGGGTTTGACAGGCTGCTTAAGGATTCCTTTGTGTTTCCTTACAGATGAAGTAGGAAGAAATTGGCAAGGCGATGGAGGCTTTTTTTTTAACCCACCACTTGATGCATTTACAGGAGAGTCATATTATTAGATGTGGAATACAGGAATTTTGCAGTTGTGGTGGAGACTTCAATGATTTACAACATTTGTTATCTCTTCCTCCCTCTCAATCTTTTCCTCTCCATTAATCTGTCAGTATGGGTTAGCATTGTGGCAATGGCAAGCAGCAGTACACTTTATAATGTTAAAGAGATTATTGCTTAGAGATTTGAGGGAGTACAGATGTGTTTTTTGTCTCACGGGCTTCCAAGGTGACCATTCATTTCTCTGAACAATGTTGCAGAGCCTGCATAGCTTTATCAGTATGGCAGAACCAGTCCTGTTGTCCTGGTAATTATGTTGCACAAAATCAGCTTTGCAAGTACCTAGTGTACTTTCCTTTGCTCATATGTACAACAAGCAGGAGACAGTTTCTCAATAAGCACTTTCTAAAAATTTACTATTTTAACAATTACTTGTGAATTTAAAAGTGAATTGTTGAACTAGCTTTTGTTTAATGTTCAGTAACAGTATAAAGCTAAAAATAACCCCCCCAAAATTTACAAAGTATCTGAGACACTCACTGGTACTATGAGGAACTTTTCAAGGCACAGATGAGATGATACTATAGGCTTGACATCTTGCAAGACCTTAATTGTAGTGTCTGTAGGCAATAGTTTCATTTATGTGACCAGATACCACAAGAGTTACTTGTTGGAGCAAAATAAACTTAACCCTTTTTCGTTTACAATGCTTTGCTTTACTACATAACGTGTCTCTCCAATTGTTCACAAAGTCTTGCTTTTGCCACTACTCATGGCAGGCTTAGTTTTCTGGAAGGAAGTTCATGTAAGCTTACCTGTTTCATACCTATAAATCCATTCCCAATATCAAAGAATCATAGAATCATAGAATGGTTTGGGTTGGAAAGGACCTAGGAGATCATCAAGTTCCAACCCCCCTGCCATGGGCAGGGACACCCTCCACTAGCCCAGGTTGCTCAAAGCCTCATCCAGCCTGGCCTTAATACCTCCAGGGATGGGGCACCCACAGCTTCCCTGGGCAGTTCACTGTACTTCCCTTAGTCCTTTTTCTGCAGTGTTGTACTGAATAAGCCCTCGTTTCTCAGGCCTTCCTTTAGTAGATAGTGTATTGAAATGAAAGACCTGGTGCTAGAGTTTCTGGAAGAGTAAGGCAGCTGTGCTGCTCTTTGTCCCCACCTGTAGTAAGCGCTTGTTGATTACATCCTGCCTGCTGTTTTCCCTGTGCAGAGCAGGACTCATTATTCTAGGCTAGGAGGTAGTGTTGATAAGAACTCCATTCAGTGCAAACAGAATTTAAGTTATGTTCTTGTTACACATGTAACTTGCTGAGGCTTTTATGCAGTGATAAGAGTGGAAGAGATTTTCTGTCTCCCCTGCTTCTAAAAAATTTGAACCCACCTGCTTGTCCTTCAAATTTTACCTGTCATTTGATACTGTCTTTCATTTCTAAAACTTTCTTCAATGAACTCAACTGGAATTTAAATGGCATTAAAGCCCTTCTTTACTACAGACTGGTTTTCTGAAAAGCTTAAAAATATCATATAGAAAAGCAGGACGATGATGGTGTAGCCAAAATTCAGTAGCAGGTAAACTGTTCACACATTTTCATACATGCCAGACAAACAAGCTTAGTCTCTTCTATTTCCTGCAGCATTACAGCAGCTCAGAAAAAGCACTTAGATAAGGAGAATTTTTTGACTTATGGAAGGCTCTGTGTGTAAGGGAATATATGTAGTGAGACAGTTCAGTGTCAGCTAGTTAAAGGGTTAAGACATGTCAGCTGGTTGAATGGGAATACCAGATAAAATAATTTCTTCATGTGCTTCAGCAGAGTAATTCACTGACCCAAGACACATATGTCTTAATACTAACAGTTATAAATGCTGCTCAGTGTTGTCTGATCTAGACAAGTAGAAATTTAGAAATACTTAAATTTATTATTTGTAATATAAGTACTGTTCTCCAGGTGCTTTAAATTAATATTTGAGTTAGACCCAAAAATTTCTGGAAACTGGAGAACATTGTTCATTTTCTCCAAGAACACTAGAAATTTAAGACTGTTCAGTGTTGTAAAATTCCTAGGTAAGAATGCTGAATGTTTTGCGTATTCCCTCAGGAATTTTGAGAAGGACTTACATTTTAAGTTTGTTTTTCAATACAGTGAATGTGCAAGGGAAAATGTAAACCTAGTTCTTCTTCAGGGTGCTTGGAATCCACGGGAAGAATAAATACATGGGGTTCTTTGCATTTGTGAAATAGCATCCCTAGCCTGGTAAACAGCTGTGTACTGACAGAAGACTTTTACTCTGGAAATGTGGGGGATGCTTTAAAGTACAGGCATATCCTTGTGCCACTTCTCTGTCTATTGTTTTGGGGTTGAGTTGCCATTAATCCCTTTAATACCTTTAAAAAATATTTAAGTCAAAACTGAGCATCTGTCTGGACTTAAGTTTTCTGAGCAAACTCTTAGCTTCCCAAGAAGGAAGACACTTATAGCAGTAAAAACGAATAAACCTCCATCTTGAGTATGTGCAGGCATGTACTCCTGCAATGCCTGGTTTTTTCTTCTGCAATTGATTCTTTGCATTTTGAAATGTTTGCAGTGCGTCAAATATTGTGGCTTAATTCTCTCCTCGTTATACAAGGCAGGTGCTGAAGGTGCTGGTGGTGTACTATATGATGCATCACAGCTGGGTGATTATTCTGTACTCTATTTTAAGCTGTGATTTTGGAAAGATTTCAGGTTATATCATGTAAGATAAACTAATCAGTTCAGGATCGGTTTTAACTGGAAATGTGGAAAAAAATGCTTCTGAGAAATGTCACAGAAATGGATATATCAGTTCTATATAGTGATACACTGTGTTTTCCTGTAAAATTTAATTTCTTGAGGAGAGCCTAAATACTCAATTACATAATTCATAGTCGATAAAACATATTGTTAAATCCATATGAATAAGAAGGAAAAAATCTGATGGCTAGTTTGTTTTGAAAACCTCAGTTTCAACGGTTAATCTTATTGCATCCTGGAATGGAGATGTCTTCCTTAAATATTTTGTGTGTTATTTGATCAGGGCTATATAATGCTAATGTAATCTCAATTAAATGCTTTTGCTGAATGAGACTCTCCCAGAAAATGAGAATGAGCTGTTAAATCAGTGAAATGTGAAGGGATTCTACCCCCCTGGACCTATTAATATTTTTTGCCTTTTTAAAGAAAAATCATCATTAATTGAAATACATACACATACTATAGCAAATTATTAGAATTTGCATATAATTTTTATACCTGTGTTTTAATGGGGTATTTCACATTTTAATTTAGATGGTTGTATGCTTTGTGTTTTACTAATTGGTTTCTGTGTACAACAGGCCTCAGGCATGGAAGAGCTGATATGGGAACAGTACACTGTGACCTTACAAAAGGTGAGTGCCTGTTGTATTTCTAGTTTTCAAATATTCAAGCACTGGTTTAGTTTAAACATGTTTTATGATAGATGTTAGCATATCTGAGTCTAAAATAAGATTAATTCATTGTCCAAATCAGATATGTTTTTCATTTTAAAGCTTTCTTTACCGTTAAGAGTAAATTAACAATACCACATGCCAGCCATATAGCTAAATTAATTGTTGAATAACCTTAAAAATAAGGCAGATGGTTCTGTCAACTAGTTGTGTCTAACGTCCAAGCTTTATAATAATCACTGAATATGATTGCACTGTATTTTTTTTATACTTTGATATTTACCCGTGTAGAATCTAGTGGAAAATTGCTGTCATCAAAATCTCTAAAATAAATGGACTATAGAAATAACTTTTAACAATTCTTTGAAGAAAAGAGGAAGTATCTCATTACAGTCCTTTTGCATTGTTTCTCTGAGTTCTCTAATGGCTAGGCTGCCACACCATGGTTATAGGATGTGTGCTTTGGTGGTGGTGGTGTTCTGATGATCCGTGTTCAGTGAGCAGCCTGTGCTATGCTGTTTACATTTTTTTTCGCATGTTCTGCAGTGAACTCAACTTGAAGACACAATAAAATAGCAATTTTCCCTACACAGCCTGTTTTCTGTGAAGAATTGTTGAGAAAGGATTGTTTTTTCAGGTTACAGAGGTAGACAGAAGAAATACTAGAGAAGCAGACCTTAGTTCCTGTAATTTCAAAATGTTCAGGTCTTGAATATTTCCTTTGTCTCAGAGACAGGGTTATACTACTGAAGTGGCAAAGGGCTATTGAACTTGCTGCATCAGTCACTACCAATGAAATTTACCATTATTTTTAGTTCTGCATTCTTTTGGCTTGAACCATCAAACTGTTTCCTGTAAAATTAAGGTGAAGTGCCATTAAAAAAAAAAAAAAAAACCCAACAAAAATTATTGCTTTTTTCCTCCTCAAAGAAATAACCACCTAATATTGACATTAGAGGAATACAAGCTGGCATGTGATGAACCACACACTGAGTGTCAGTTGTGGGAAGAGCACCACTTTAATTTGGTCTTTTACTTTCCCACTATGTTAAAACATTTTGGTTAGATGTGGCATAAAGTATATTTTGTAGTGGTAGGAGGTTTGTGTTAAATAGATGATAAAATTAAACCTGTACATTTAACAAAATGTGTAGTTTTGTGCACACCGTGTCTGCAGTTCAGTTATGCTACCAGTTCCCACATCTAGTGCTATAGACATGCTTCCTTCACACACTATTATTTCCCTCAATTTATGAATGCCATCTTAGGGTTGTTGTAGATCTGATATTTCTATGACAACAGGTTTGACATAAATTACATATTTAAAATAGTTGTGAGGGGGGATAATCATAGAGAATCACAAGTCCAACGCTTACTTTTTGCAATCAGCCATGATCTTTTTTAGTTTGATCGAGGAGTAAGTAGTCCTTGCAAAACAGAGAGCAAGAATAATGAAGATGAGATCCTGGAAAAGCTGTTCAGTTTCTCAAGCATGAGTGACAAAATAGATTTATCTAATAATAAATTTGGTATGAATAACCAGTGGGATGGTGGAGCAAAATGCAGGCTAAGTTAGTGAGTCCTTTGCTTAATTACTAGGCATCACATGGCTGTAGACTGAGGTTTTGGAACACAGGAACATGTTGTCTTGTTACATGGATTTGTAAACCCATTGATTTTTAAATCTAGAGATTCTGTGTATTTCTGCAACTCTCTGCATGCAAGTATATTTTAAATAATATCTAGGTAGAGTAATATTCGTGTTACTCCTTTCTCCCCATCAAAATTCCTATGGATAGAATTGAGTTTTGTTGTATTTGTTTTTGCTGTGAAGGATTCGAAACGAGGATTTGGGATTGCAGTTTCTGGAGGCAGAGATAACCCTCATTTTGAAAATGGTGAAACATCGATAGTAATTTCAGATGTTCTTCCAGGTGGTCCAGCAGATGGATTACTTCAGTAAGCAATTTCTTACTTCTCTTTCTGGCGTATTTTGAGGGGCGTGTAAAACATTCAGATAGGCTTGTTTGAAATCCTGGTGATTTAACCCACTCAGTGGGTTGTATGACCTCTTGAAGTCAACTCAAAACAAAAAACCCCAAACCAACAAAACAAACCAACGAACTCCACCCAGATGTGTTTTTATTTGCTATTTTGTGTAAGAAATTAAATTTCAGTGGTGCTGAAAAGGTTTTACAGTTAAGTATGTTTCTCTTAAGATTGCATTTCTTTTAAAGAAACATTAGAAATACTCAGTATCTTAAAACATTCTCCTTGTTCTTCCTCCAGGAAACATGTTTAGTGATCAATCATTGGTTTTCAAGGGAATGGCTTAAATCAGCCCAGAGAAAGGTCTTTACTTCGAAGGTGTTAAGAGCAACAATGGAGGAAGGAAGAAAACCAGAAGTGTTTGCTAAATATTTATTTTATATTTGAAAGAAAAAAATATGGAAACAAAGTGTTTCTGTAATCTTCCTGGTAACATTATCCTTGGTGAGGCAACATCTATCATGGACAAGTAATTTTAAATCTGTAGGCTGAGATAAGCAGTTTCTAGCCCATTGCTGATCAGTTTTTCATCCTTTGACTTGGAATAGCTGCTGAGGACTAGACAGTTTGGAAGAATGCCAAAGTTGTGCAGTAATAGTAGTTCAAAAGAGTAGGTTCAGGCCATTTTGCCAAACATTTAATTTTTGGTAAGGTAATGAAAAGGCTGACATGGCAATAGTTATTGAAGGACTGGATAAAAGGATTATTTTGAACAGGTAACAAACCATTCTCAGCATAAGCATACAAAATCTTTGCTTTATAGCAGTGACCCCCAAACAACACCACTATCATCCACCCTGTTCCATAATTGTCTGTGATTTGGGAATAAAATCACAGCCACGAATTATGTAAGATGCTAAGTAAACTGATGATGACAAGGCAATACCAGGAAATTTGGGCACATTCGGGCAAAGCATGATCTGAAGAAAACTGAATGCAAAGTATAGGCTTAACCTTCAGAGTGTGCGGGGAGTACAATCCTGCAATCCTTTTTAGGGTAGAGTGAGCATAAATGGATGGGAGATCTTGATGTAGTGTTACATTAGGTTTGATACTGTCTTTGGATGTAGTCTGTGAGGAGAGTTATTTTAACTCTCACATAAAGCCTGGATGAAACTGATACTAAAATATAGTGGCCTGTTCTGGCATGCTCATTCAGTGAAAGGAATTGGAAGGATACAAAAAGAGGTGCAAAAATCATTCAGGAGGTAGATAAAAAGTGCCTTGCAGAGAGAGGCTTAAAGTATATAATCTTATTTAAAAAGAAGGTTGTGATGTGACTTGGTTACAGTGAAGAAAAATAACGGGTACTAAAGATTTCTTTCATCTCGCAGAAATCAGCAAAGTAACCAGTAATTGATTGAGCTAATGCTCTGACTGTAAGGTTAGTAACTTATAGTCACCAGAATAAGCTAATAGGAGGAGTGGTAGTTTGGTTTGGTTTTTTTTGTTTGTTTGCTTGCTTGTTTGTTTGCTTGTTTGTTTGCTTGTTTGTTTGTTAAATCTCCTACACTTTTTATGCTGGATCAGGTGTTATGGGCCTCTCTCCTGGGGGTGACTGAGTTAAGTCTTAATGGTCTATTTGACGTGCAGGAGGTCTGAATAGAGGAGTTAGTCATCTCTTTTGGCTCATGATTTAGGGCAGTGGGGACTTTCGTGTACTGTAGTTTGGTTGGGGTTTTCCCCCCAATCATCTTTCTTCATAGTAGATGGGGCCTGAATACCAGTCTTGCAGAAAAGTATACTAGAGTGGTACATGTTAAGGTTTGTCTGAATACTGCTATGACTGCAGCAATTTGAAGCTCTCTTGAAATTCTTATGTTGGAGTGAAAAAAAAAAATCTACTTCTAGGTGTGAAAGACTAGGAGTTCCAAAAACAAACAAACAAAAAGAGTAAATGTTTTTACGGTCATCACAAATATTCTTTAAAAAACAAGATCTTCTTTGACATTGTGGGAGGTACTTTAAGCTGGACATCATACATGTCCAAAGATAACACACTACCCAAAGTCTACTTTTATAAACATACCAAAAGCTTCTTCTGGTATTCAGATATTGTAGTGTTTGTATAGCAAATACAGTTTTAAAGCAAAACTCCCTGTTAAAGTGAATGAAATCCATAGGTTCTCATGGGGGGGAAAAAAAATAAATTATTCCAATGTTTCCATGAAGACTCCTCTTAAATCCTTTTTTTCTGGTTTTTTATTTTCCCTCCCCACTCTTCCAGAGAAAATGACCGTGTGGTCATAGTTAACGGGACCCCAATGGAAAATGTTCTGCATTCTTTTGCAGTCCAGCAGCTTAGGAAGAGTGGAAAAGTGGCCACCATTGTAAGTAAATTACAAATGTATTCACTCTACAGTGGTATGTACCTGTGTAGCCAGTCAAGATTTTGGGTTTCTTCTATGAAATGAACTATAAATGAATAAAGAAAAGCAAACCTTTGCCTAATAGAACATACAAAGCAAATAAAACAAAGCAAAAATGTTGTTTCTATGGGTGAAACAAATGGAAGTTAAACAACAGTGTCACAAAGTTATCCTTTTGAAATACTGGGAATAAAATGTATGTCCTCAATCTGTAACTTTACTGAATCATGAGTGGTAGTTGGACAAAATGAAAGCTATGTGAGGCAAATGATGTCCTGCATACACAGACTGTGTCCAAGAATTTGCTGTCCAGACTGGGTCTCATTAGTTGAGAGAGGCATCAACAACACTCTCTTTTGGTGGCTCGTCACCTTTTTTAAAAGTCATCTAGACAGAGGAGAAAATTATTCATTACTCACACTCTTGCAGAGATAAAAGAATGTGGTTGCTGATCTGATATTTTTATTTAATTCTCCTACTGTTCTTTATCCTCCCAATTAGTAAATATTTCTTCTGCACATCTAAATAATATAATTTACTGGTTGTTCTATAAATAGAACATTGTTCTTTTTGTTTTGTGCTTTTTTTCCCCCCCAACCTCTATTGAAGTGTGAAGAATAGTCATCTGTTGAATTTCACATTCACATTGGAAGGTTTTTTTATTTCTTTGTTTTGTATTGCACTGAACAGGTAGTGAAAAGACCAAGGAAAGTGCAGGCTGCTGCCTTGAGGAAGAGCCCCTCCCTTGACTATGAGGACAGAGCTTTAGGTGTAATGGATGACCACGCAGAATTTGATGGCAAAAGTGCTCGAAGTGGCTATAGTGACAGAAGCTGGCATAGTGGTAATGGAGGGCGCAGCCAAAGCTGGGGAAACAGCCTGGATCAGAGCTATAGAGATGAACAAGACAGAGGGCGTAAGCAAAGCAGAGACCGTGGTAGGGAATGCAGCTACAGCCATGATCGAAGTCGTGGTAGGAGTGTTGACAGGAGCTTGGATCGAGACTATAGAAGAGATCGGAGCAGGGGAAGGAGCATCGACAGGGATGGTAGCTATGAGCGGGACTACAGAGGAGACTACAGCCCACCCAGTTATAGTCATGGATCTCAACCTGATCCTAGATACAGCAGGGAAGTGAGGAGTGGAAGTTGGGACAGGCTTCATTCCCGAAGTCCGTCACCTGAAATACACCGTCAGCATGAGTACCTAGGACCACAGGATCAAAATGGACCTATCAGTGTTCTCTTAACAAAAGGCCGACATAATGAAGGTAGGTATAGTAGGGGAGGAGAGGAAACTGACTTTTAATACAGCATGGAACTTGATGATCTTTAAGGTCCTTTCCAACCCAAACCATTCTATGATTCTATGTTGTGTTGATGGGGGAGGGAGAGGAGATGAATATTCTCTGATTTTATGGGTTAAATGTTGAGTTTTCTAACTGATCGCTTAAGTTGTTTGTTTATTCTTCCTGGCTGGTTTTTCCCCCAGCACCTTGAACTTCACCAAAGAACTGTTCACCCACATTGTTTCAGTCTTTTCAAGCCACTGTGCCCTTGGTTTTCCATGTTCTCTGCCCTGTTCTTCTGGTTCTAGTGGGAAACGTATCTGATTATGATTCAGATTACACTTGGCACATCTACAAAAGGGTCAGCTAAAAAGGGTGAAGAGTAGACTCTGCCTTTAATAATGCACTTACTTTTTCCTTTCAGTATAATTAAAATTAGCTCCAAGGATTATTTGGTTCTGAATACTTCAGAATGTATCCAAAGAATACTGAAATACCAACAGCTGAAACAACCTCTCCTTGCTGAGTATTGGAGTGTGTAAATGAAAGCCAAAAGCCTGATCTTTTGTGTTCTGTGAAATACAGACTCTTGTGCTATAAAGCATATCTGAGATTAGGTTGTGCATTGTTTTCTGTTTGGTTTGGGGGTGGGAGGGAAGAGTGTGGTGGTTTCTTTGTGGGATTTCCTGGGGGTGTTTTTTTCTAACCTGCCCTGTTGTGATCTGTCAGAATTTTCTGCTCCTGTAAGCTTTGGATGCAGGAGCTAACCTCTCTTTTAATTGACTCTGGCTGGCAAGGATCCCTTTCCCTCCTTCCTGTTCTTCCCCTACATATAATGTTTTCACTTGTAAAGATAATGCAGACAGGTATACAAATAAGGTGTCTTTGTTAAGTTTTATATGTAGCTAGTAATTTCATAATAATTTCTTAAATAGTATTATTTTTAAGTAGATAACTGTTTTTTTCCTTTTCTGTTCTAGAATGTGCATGTTTTAAGAGTGTTGCCTTTCTTTTTACGTAGCAAATGTACTGATCCAAATAACTTGGATCAAAGGGAAAAAAAAGGAGGGGGGAGGAGAAGGGCAAAAAAAAAAATATTTTGCCTGAAACAACTGAGACGCTGGGGTACAGACAGGACAGGGTCAGCATGAAGCAACTGGTGAGAAAAAGAGCTCCTCTTCTATATGTGCTTTTGGACCCATTTCCCTCCCTTTCTACGCCATGCAAAATATGATATAGAGAGAGAATCTAGTCCAGCATGTTAGTAAGCACCTCCAGAACAAAGGCATTGTTTTGCTGTTGAAGGTGCAGACTAATCATCCATCTGTGATTGGTTTTGAACTGCTGTTTGCTCTTAATGTGGTGACAGCACAGAAATAGGAGAGTTAGTCTAGGGTTCAGTGGGTTTACTAGGTCCGCATATTTTTTAATTTTCTCATGCTGTAATGGGGTATGCTGCCTATACACTGTATAGTTTTTTAAAAATGCATCCTCAGTCATCTTCTAAGATACACTGTATTATTTCCCTGATTCCAGAATATGGGCTCCGTCTTGGAAGTCAGATCTTCATAAAAGAAATGACCCGAACTGGCCTAGCAACCAAAGATGGCAACCTTCATGAAGGGGATATCATTCTCAAGGTCTGTTCTGGTTATACTGCTAGCAGTTTAGCAGGCACTTGTTGCAGTGGTTACTCTGGAGTACGTCGTGTATAGTCAAGTTCACTCTTAAATTTGAGCACGATATGGACTTGTGATGGTATTGTTGCCTTTTTATGTGCAGATCAATGGTACAGTGACAGAGAACATGTCTTTATCTGATGCCCGAAAATTGATTGAGAAGTCACAGGGGAAGCTCCAGCTGGTTGTCCTCAGGGACAGAAAGCAGACACTGCTCAACATTCCTTCATTGAACGACAGTGACTCAGAAGTGGATGGTGAGGTTTAATGTGGATAAAACGTTCTGGACTCTGTGCAGGGACAGAATGGAACTTACAGTGTTTTACTGTGATATAATGGTACTAGGTTCTTTAAAAAAGAAAAAAAACCCAACCAAACAAAAATAAACACTAACCTAAGTAACAGCCAATTAAGCATCAGCCCACTTCCTTTAGGTGAAAGAAGAATTTTATAGTAATTGTATAATTACATTTTAGGCAGGGGCAGAGATAGAAGAAGCAATGTTGGTCTGACAAAATCAATCTTACTTCTCAGAACAAGCAAGTCAGTTGCTTTAGTAAAAGACTTCAATTTTAAAAACAAGTGGGTTGGACTGGTCTCTCCTTCTGAAGGCATAAACATTCATTCAGGAGGGAAAAAATATCAGGACAAGAGGAAATTAAGTCTCCCTGGACAACTGGTTTCTATTGCCAGTATGTATTCCATACAAGTGATCTTTGATAGTGTATGAGCTGTATCTCTCAACATAATTCTGCTTTGGGAAGGGCTCAGAATGTTTGGGGGAGCAGGATGTTACAGTATTTAACTCAAGATATTTGCTTCTCTGATGTAAGAATGCTGGATGCAACTTGTTGTAGGTTTTACTGTGAGGATTGAGTTACGGTTCAGTTTTGAGGGCTACTCTTTCTTCTTTGTCACTGAAAAGCAATATTATGAGGACTGTTAATGTGAAGGTGGTCTTCTGTTTGGGAACCTCCAGGAGACCTCAAAGAAAAGGCTGCTAGCACTAGTTAATGAGTTTATGGAATGCTCTAAGTAGTTGTATGATGTGAGTGTGTTTCCTAAAGGTTGTGTGAAACCTCCCTGAAATATTTTTGAGGGGATGGGGGAGCACTAAAAGGCATGCAGCAGTTTTTGAACTGAAGTCAAATCCAACTTGGAATGGGAGTAGGCTTAAAGGTTCAGCATGTCCTATATGTGTAAATTTTGTAAATAAATGTGGTGATCAGATGTGCAGATAATTTAAATAAATCCTGCCTTTCTTGATTTGCTGGTCTCTTTACAGACATTTCTGAAATAGAGTCAAACAGATCATTCTCACCTCAAGATGACAGATTGCACCATTCTGATCTAGATTCACATTCATCCAACGAAAAGCTGAAAGAGAAACCGAAGTAAGAAATGGTCTTTTCTAGTCCATTTTTCTAATGCTTGTCAAATAAATTCTTAAAATACATGTAATTCTTATCTGATTTCATTACATGTTTTAAATTTTTTATTTCTTTTAGTGCAAAAGATGATCCATCCAACAGGATGTCCAGAATGGGCGCAATGCCTACACCATTCAAATCAACTGGTGACATTGCTACTCCTGCTGTTACAGTTGCAAGCACAAACAAAGAACTGAAGTACCAAGATGACCCAGCAGGTCAGAGTTTGAAGTCTTTGGTTCCTTTTTTTTCCCTGGCCATAGGATGTCTACTCCCTCAAACATGTTGACGTATCTAGTATACTCTTCATGTTAACCTCATCTTGACACACAGAGAAGAGGTCTGTCTTTGCTTTGTGGTGCAGAGAGAGAAGAAACACTTGAGATTATTTGAAGGCAGTTGCTTATTAGAATTACCACCTGAAAAAGCAAGTACTCGCCTAGAGCATCTGCTGTAGCCTATTGCACTTAGGAGCCAAATGAAGCTATTCTTAAATATCTGGCTTGCCTGAGTTGTGTATCCCTCCCTTGACCTTTTTGTTCTTTTTCAAGAATTAAAAAAAAAAAAAGGAAAAGTAAATCAATTCTAGTCAAAGAGATGCTTGACACTTATTTGTGATTAATCTTTAGCATGGAGGGGTTTGATTGCTATCTGATAGCTAAAAATTTTCTGCCATTTAATAAGTTTTTAATACCTCAGTATTGGCTTTTTTACTTATAGCATCTCAACCAAAAGCAGTTACAAGAACAATTCTCAAACCCAGTGCTGAAGATGAAGCAATATACGGGTAAGGCGGCACTTGCAGTATTCTTTTGCACTTAGTGTTCTTCCAGTGACCTGTACCTGGTTCTTCATTGCATGGGTTTCAGGGTTTTTAGCCCATTTGGAGTGATACTCCCCGTATAGCTTAATGCCAGGAGGAGATGACAATGGCTTCTAACTGACCATATTTCAGTTCAACTTGGTTTTAGAAGTATCTGCCTGGAAGCTGTAGACTTGCCTTCTGCCTGGAACTCCCTGTGCTTCTAGGCTTGAATGGGAACATACACAATGGTATATTTTTATATTTTTATTCTGCTTTATTTGGCACTTTGAGGTAGTATTTGGAGGACTGTGTCCATTTGGGGGCTCCCTGGGACAAGGAAAACATTGGCACACTGAAGTGAGTGTAAGGGGTCGGTGGCAGCAGCATATGACATAGAAGAAAGGACCGAGACAACTGGGTTTGTTAAGCCTGGAGAAGAGCAGATTGAAGGTATATCTTATTGCTGTCTGCAACAACCTAATGGGTAGTGGGTGTAGAGAAAAACGGAGCGATACTCTTCTCAGAGGGGTACAGTAGTAGGACAAAAATCAAGAGACAAGAGCTGGAACATAGGAAATTCTGACTTGATATAAAGAAGAAAACTTTTTATTATGAGGGTGGTTAGCTACTGGAACAACTTTCCTTTGTAGGATGTGGTATCTCCACCACCAGTGATACTCAGCAATATAAGTGGTCAAGGCCCTGAAGAACCTCTTTTGAGTAGAAGGCCTTTCTAATCTGTGCAATTCTATGGAAATGTATTTTACACCTCTGGAGTTATTTTATATGTACATAGAAGACAACTCTCCCCTTTGCCACAGTATTAGGATCCAAAGAGAATGTCCCCTATTTAATTTGTAAACAAGCTTATTGCAAGACAGTGCAAACATATGTGTTTTTCTGTACAAGCTGGAAACCTCTTACAGAATTTTGTCTTTTCTTCAAATCCGAGCCTTTTCTTCAAATCCAGTTCGTTTTGCAGTTCTAGTCTCTGCTTAGCAATGAACAAAATAATTGCTTCCAAAGTTTCTTTTTATGGGGGGTTTTTTGATTATTTTTATAAGTGATCAAATGGAAGCTGGTGCTTTTGATTCCTTAAGAATTAAGATGCTAAATGTTGCAAAATTTATTAATAAAAAATCAACTTATGTTTTCTTTTGAGAGTTTCCAAATACAGAAATTGAAGGGAGAGGAGTACTGAGATTGTAAAGAGAAGCCAAAAGATAAGGTTTTGAAGATACTTTGTATCTTGGAGTATTTCCTCAAATGGATTTTCTTCTCAGATCTTTCCTGGGTTGGACCCTGCATATGTTGTAATTTATGTGCAAATTAATCAAGTGATTATTTTGGTGAGGGGGAATTTATAATACAGGCTTAGAGTATTACTGAGAAAAGCTGACAGATAAGTACTGTCCTCTACGTTGGAAGGTCACTCAGGCATACGGCTTTTCTGACAGTAAAGAAGCTGAACCTAGTCTAGTCCCTTTCCTGCTGCAGTATGAAAGGAGTGATTGTTAACATACCAGTAGAGTATACTTGGAAATATTTCTCACTACAGGAAAGTGTGAAGACTTCTGTCTAACAAACATGGTACACTGTAAAGAAAATAAGTATGAATTTAATTCATATGACAGCTCTCAAGTGTATAGAAGAAAAAACAATGAGAGTGATTACGTAAACTCAGACTGTTTTAACAAAAAACCCAGCTGCTCATCTGATAGAGGATTCAGTAGGTAGGGAACTACTTTGGAACTTCAAGAACAATAAGTTGTTTTCCTGCTCTGTCAAGTCTGTGTATGCCACTTCATCACTCTTCCTAGTTCAGTTTCCACTCTGAAAAATGCAAATTCTCTGCTTCCTTCCCTCACTGAAGAGTTACCTGGATAAACATAGTGAAATGGGCTAAGAATATTATTAATATGATTTTGTTGAAAGGGTTGCCATTTTTTTTTCTCTTTACAAACTGTTATTTTCATATTCTTTAATATCTGGCCTTAAATCCTGTTTCTGCCTGTAAATCTTGTAGGCCTAATACAAAAATGGTGAGATTCAAGAAAGGGGACAACGTGGGTCTACGACTGGCTGGTGGAAATGACGTAGGGATATTTATTGCTGGGATTCAAGAAGGCACTTCAGCTGATCAGGAGGGACTGCAGGAAGGAGATCAGATTCTTAAGGTATGAGTACGTGTCCCTGAAATGCAAATAACTTTTGTATTTCTTGGTTTACTTCTTAGTGGAAATACAGAAGAAATTATGATCTTAAGAAGCCAAATATTGTTTTCTAAGTGTGTATGTGTGGTGAAGGGATCTTACTGAAAGGAGATTTTGAAAGAGAATTGTATATCAAGCTACAGTTTGTTTAACATTATGTGGAATGGTTAGGTAGGAGAAATATGAATCAAGAAAAATGCCCCAAGATGGGAGAATAAATTTTCTGAACAATGCTTCTTCCTACTCTTGGAGGGGGAAAAAATTGAGGCTAGCATATTTTTCTTCTTTCATCTTTCTCCAGCTTCCTTGGGTAACAGTGATTTCTTTTAGTTTTGTCCTCCTACATTCTCCTTTTTTTCAAAAAATTTAAATAGGAGGCTAATGGAATTTTCTGCCTCTTTTCTCTTGTGATAGCCTTGATTTTCAAAGCCTTTTGGAGCCAGTTAAAGTAGAACAAACAATCTAGCAGTGCACATCCAGGACTTTGTTATTTTAGAAAGGCTACTGCTAATGGCTGGAATAAAATGTTCCTTACGGCAACAGGCATTCGTATTGACTTTAAAAAATACAATAAGGGAAGAGACTATTTAAGATTTTTTTAGATGAAACAAAAATCTTTGGTTATTCCTTTTATTATTGCAGGTGTTGATTTCTTTAAATTTTTTTTTTTTTTTTGTACATAGGTAAACACTCAAGACTTCAGAGGCATTGTTCGGGAAGATGCTGTTTTGTACCTCTTAGAAATTCCTAAAGGTGAAACAGTGACAATTTTGTCTCAAAGCAAATACGAAGGTAGGTGTTTTGAACAAAATGTGTGTGTTTCCATGAAGTTTTTAAGCTCTGTTTTGTCAGTGAAACCACAAATAAGCTCTCTTGTGCTTATTCTTATAGTATTTTAGTTACCCTCCTTTTTAGTAATTTAGAAGACAGCTGTATTCCATACCATGAGGGTCATATAGATGTGCATGTGTGATGTGTTTTTCAGAGCACTTCTCCATCTCTTTCATTATTAGGAAATAGCATGTCGTCTTAATCCTGAAGAGAGCGATGTACTGCTTGGTCCTTCTGCTCTTTTCTGTCTGTAGCAGCTGGCCCGAGATCTGCAGTTAGCATTTGTTTTCTGCTGTGCCTTGGCATTCATAAGGGATTCAGTCACATAGCAGCAAATTAATAGTTTTATTGATGGATAGTTAAGGAGCAAGCAAAGCCTCTTGCTTTCCTGTTAGAGACACAACCTGCTGTAATATTGAAGTACCATAGATGCCTTTTGCTTTGGGAAGGTGCAAGTACCTCCTCCCCTCAGAACTTTAAGGGCTGTAAATGTGTACAAGTATAGAGCACTCTTGATAAAGTATCTGTAGGGATGTAGATGTGAAGGCTGTTTTTTTTGCATCTTTTTGAGTGGAGGGGAAGAATTTCAAAGCTATTGTCTAGAATGACAACTTAATCTTTCTTTCAAGTGTAAAAAAAATATAAAGTAAAGGGGAGTTCCTGTTTTAGTCTACAGAGACATCATGGCCTGTGGCAGAGGAGATTCATTCTTCATCAGGACCCACTTTGAGTGTGAAAAAGAGTCACCACAGAGCTTAGCATTCACCAGAGGGGAGATTTTTAGAGTAGTTGATACACTGTATGATGGCAAACTGGGAAACTGGCTGGCCGTGAGAATTGGAAATGAACTGGAAAAGGGCCTCATTCCAAATAAGAGCAGGTAAGGTGGCTTCCTGTCTCCCTACCCATGGTTAGAAGTAATTTTTTTTTTTACATGATTTTTTGCCTTCTATGTAATACCTTTCTCTCTTCTTTCTCTCTTTCTCTCTTCTTTCTCTCTTTCTCTCTTCTTTCTCTCTTTCTCTCTTCTTTCTCTCTTTCTCTCTCTTTCTTTCCTTGCAAGATTAATAAATTGTTTTGTCTTTACTTTCACAACAATTGTGCCTGTAAAACTGTAGATTTTAGAACCGTGATATTATGGGAAGAGGATGAGAGAGGATGGTGTTACTGAAATACTATACATTCTAGATCAGGTATTTGCAACACAGACCTAGAGCTCCTGTCTCAGCAATCAACCAAGCTTTGACCACGACCTGTTTCAGTTCCTCTTCTAGAAAACAGATAGAGGATCCTATTTTTTTTCCTTTTTTCCCCCCCCTTCTCCCCACCCCCCTGCCCAATCCCCAACAAAACGAGAATAAAACACACACACACAAAAAAACCCTATCAGCTTAGGAAGCTCTTGACTGTGTGTACAGGAATACTCTGATGATTAATCTTTTAAAAGAACTTCAGTGCTTGAATTTCTTTTGTATAGCCTCACGGAAAGTGTTTCAAAAATTTATTCCAAGGCTAATATTTCTTGGTAGGTGTAGTCCTTATTTTTTGTGTGAAATAGTGAGTGAACCACATCAATGTTTTTTACTTAAATATGCTTTCCCAGTCAAAATTCATGTGAAGTAGTAAGTGTTCAAATGTGCACAATGACTAAAAGAATTAAAATTCATCAGCAAAAAAATCAGGGCATTTTTAGACTGTAGCTTTTAAGTTCTTGAGTGTGGTTTTGATTTTAAGATGGGTGAAGCTCACAATTGTATTGTACAGAAATTCCTGAAATATGCTTATGTGACTCCCCTGCCTCTTTCCCTGTTAGTACATTCTGTCCTCTCTGTTAATTGATCTGACCAAACCAGCCTTTGTTTCTATGCTGTAGTGGCTTAACTTAGAAGGCCTAATGGAGAAGAGAATAGTGACAGTAATTTCTTAGGCATTCCGTTCTAATTTGCACTTTCTCACCACCTCTTTGCAGTTGCATTCTTTTATTTATGTGTGTATGAGTTATCAGTTTAAGACCTGCGGTCTCATTCCCGCGCAGCAATCTTGTAGTTGTGGCAAGCCAGAGCATCGTTCTGACACACTGTTTGCTCCAAGTCAAAAGAACCTCAACTCCTCTATTCTTTCCTTCACTTATGGCTGTCTATCTGGCAAATTACCTGTTGTAAATTCAAAATCCATTTTTCTACAGTGAAAGCGCCTTGCCCTGTTAGACTAGTTCTGTACTAATGAACTCTGTGCTTTCTCTGTCAGAGCTGAGCAGATGGCCAGTGTTCAAAATGCCCCAAAAGATGGCTCAAGTGATAGGGCAGACTTCTGGAGAACACGTGGCCAGCGATCTGGAGTGAAGAAGAATCTGAGGAAGAGTCGTGAGGATCTGACAGCTATTGTATCTGTGAGCACAAAGTTCCCAGCTTATGAGCGAGTTCAGTTGCGTGAGGGTAAGTGAGAATGCTGTGAGACAGCTGCCCATTTACTGCTGGCTGGTTTAATGTCCAAATGTTTGGTCAGCTTAAGTAAGTGATTTTGAAAAACTTGGGTTCAGCATTAAATCTGAGCAACAGGAAGGGATGACATTTTTCTCAGAACACAAGTTTCTGAATGCTATTAACTACTCTCAGAAAAAAGCTTTTTACATTTTCAAACTGCTGCTGTTCTCCATTGCCTCCAAATTGCATGTGCCAATGTCAGGGTTTAAATTAAGAAAGAAGCAGATAAGCAGCGTTCTTCAGCTTTCTCTTTTCTAGCTCTTAAAGTGCAATCCATATGCTTGAGATCAACTAGGATCTGGCTTGCTCATAAACACTACTTTAACATTACCTTGAGACCAAATAAAAGCAAAGTATTCTCAATAGATTGTCCAAATGTAGTCAGGGTTGATGTGGTCCATCTCTGTGATTCTAGACTAGCTATGTTACTAGTGATGTTGAGCAAGTGAAGGTAATTTTCTGGGTATTCACACATGACAGTATTGTGGAACAAAACAAAGAGTAAAAAGTATTTTAAAGGAGCTCCCAGATGTCAACATGAAAACTGAGCAATAGAATAGCATTCCCCTATTAACTTATGATATCTTCAACTTATTCACAGCCTTGCGCAGTAATTGAGGATCTTGTTTATTGCACTTCACTTATATATAAAACCAGTCTTATCAGACTTATCTTTTCTCCAACTATTTTTCTTTCAGCTGGTTTCAAGAGACCCGTGGTGATATTTGGCCCTATTGCAGATGTTGCTATGGAGAAGTTGTCAAATGATTTGCCTCATCTGTATCAGGCAGCAAGTAAGTTGTCCTCCTAGCTTCCTTATCATCCTTAACTGAGAGAGTGAATAACTTAATAATCACAGCTGCCCAGCCACTCTAGATAAGATAAAATGTTGTCTTTGCAGAGACAGAACCCAGAGACGCAGGTTCAGAGAAGTCAACTGGGGTAGTGCGCTTGAACACTGTGCGGCAAATCATTGAGCAGGTAGACTATTTCTCTGTGAAAATTACTTGCCCTTGAAGGCATGTTGTTTGGTTTGTTTGCTCCTAAAACTTGCAGAGTACTTAAATCTTCACTGCATCTATTTCTGCAATACGGAAACTTGGCTTAATGATAGGGCTGTTTTGAAACTGGTCAACAACAATTTTTATAACTTCGATAGCTGCATTCCAAGTGGGAGGGTGAGCCTGATATTAGAAATTAATTTCTCCTTCCCTAGTCCACTCTAAATTTGAACAGAGGGGCATCTGTTTTACTATATGCTTTCTGAATTTGCCATGGAGGCTTTAGTGTCATGTGGTGCTCTACTTGCTCTTAGAGTCATCAGAAACTTCATGTTTTGGATGGCTTCAGAGTTGCTATTTTACTTAACATGAGACGTTCAGGCAAAAGCTGTTCAGAAAAATGGAATGGAAAGAAAATGTCTGCCTGCTGTGGCTTCTGAATGTAATGTAACTGTGGGGAAAAAATTCAACAAGTTGTAGTCTTAATTGGACAAAAATATCCTGGTTTTCCTAGGATACTGTGTTCCAACCACCTCCTCTTCCCCACAAGCAGCAAACTGACTGGTCTTTCTTGTTAACAGGATAAACATGCTCTATTGGATGTGACTCCTAAAGCAGTGGACCTGCTAAATTATACCCAATGGTTTCCAATTGTGGTCTTCTTTAACCCAGACAGTAAGCAGGGTGTGAAAACCATGAGACAAAGGCTATGTTCCACATCTAACAAGAGCTCAAGAAAACTTTATGAGCAAGCAAACAAACTGAAGAAAACTTGTTCCCACCTCTTTACAGGTAAGGAAGAATGTGTGTCTAACCTGCTTACCAAGAAAGTAGTGAATGTGACTGTGTGAGTCTTGAGACATCCGCTTACTACTCTGCCTATTAACTCATGCAGGCTGGAACTAAAAGGGTGTGAAGGTCATAAGCAGTCCCCTCCTTGGCTTTTTTCAAAGTTCCTCATTCTGCAAAATTCTAATACAAAACAAATTGGGAATTGGTGTAATGTCATTAAAAGATGAGTTGTTTTAATAAGCTTGGGGAATGGACAAACAATAAAATAAAAATAGCATGCTTCAATGATCTAAATGAAACGGCTGTGTGACATCCTCACATAACTAAAACAAAAAGTGTTACACAGCAAAGACTGTATAAAGGATCATATTGCATTTGCTCTGTATATATACTTTTTCCTTCAAATTTTACAGCCACTATCAATTTGAATTCAGCCAATGATAGCTGGTATGGTAGTCTGAAGGATACAATTCAGCAACAGCAAGGAGAAGCAGTATGGGTATCAGAAGGAAAGGTAAGCAGTCAGTCCATACTGTACTAAGCCATACAGATGCCTCAAGGTATTTCTTGCCAGTAAAAATTGTTCAAAATTTTGTTTCGCAATGCTGGGTACATTAGACTAGTAGTCAGTTGATCTCTGTCTTGGTAATAAAAAATTACTTGTTCTTTCTGTTATACTTTGGAGCTTTCATCACTAATGCTGTGGCTAAGGGAGAATGGTGAGGAGGGATAAACTTTTACAGGACTTGCCTTTGTGATTCTGCATTAGAGTTTCTTTCAGTTCTGCAGAGTAATTCTTAAGGAGTTGTTTGGCATGATGTTGAGAGCTAACTACACTCTAATTCTTATATATTTAATATTTGTTCCTCAATTCTTACTGACTTTTTTCCTAGTTGGACAGCATGGAAGATGATGCAGATGATCGTATGTCTTACCTTACTGCAATGGGTGCTGACTATTTGAGTTGTGACAGTCGGCTGATCAGTGACCTAGAGGATACAGATGGAGAAGGAGGTGCATACACTGACAATGAACTTGATGAGCCCATGGATGAACCAAGGATTTCATCTGTTAGCCGGTCCTCTGAACCCGTACATCATGAGGAGGTGAGATGATTGTGTTTTTCAACAAGACTGTACTTTGAACTTTCTGAAAGCCCTGTATGTATAGCTTAAAATTTTGAGTTCTTTTAAACTGCAGCTTTATCTTACCTCTGGTAAGTGTTTTAGAGCTACATTGTGTAGAGCAAAAATAATAATAGGTCTGCTTTTCTGCCTAATGCTAGAAGTTTCCTGATGATGTCCCATGACCTTGAACTTTGCAATTACATGTGCAGTGATTCTGGTCAGGTTGCTGACAGTCACTTGACTTCTGGTTACTATTCCCAAAATAGTAAACTTGAGAGAGAGAAAAAATGATTGAATTACTGGATACTGCAGTGATTTTTCTCCCTTATTTTCTTTCATAGAATTTAAAAAAATTAAGTCCAGAACCAAGGGCTCAGTTGAGAAAAGCTGGTAGCAGGGAGATCCTTAGAGAACCGAGTCCACCTCCAGCATTCAAGCCTGAACCACCTAAGGTAAACTTGTAGAAACAAATCTGAACACAAAGTTCCTCTTTCTGGAGAATTTTAGGAAGAGCAATAGGAATGATCAGAGACTAGAAAACATTGTAAGGGTGGAGAGAAGGAACGACTGAATGTTGCAGGATCAAGTAGAGAAAACTTAAAGGATAACAGTTCTCTTCTAGTATGTGTAATCTTTATAGGGAATAAGTAAGTAGGCTCCTTTTTGTGTCTGCCAGCAAATTGAAAGGCACTTTTTTAGCTCATCAAGAATAAATGTAGGCTAATCATCAGGAAAAGCATACTGATGGTCATTTTGAAGCACAAAACCAGAATCTACCACCTCTGAAATCAGTCTCCATCACTAGAAATTGATGTTACCTGTCTTTTCAAACTTTGCTGAGGAATGATGCAGGAAAAAGATTATGATGTTTGAACACCAAATACTATTTTAGCAATTCCTGATTTTCTCTTACTCCAAAGTCCTTTCTTTATGAGAATGGGTGCCCTCACATATTGCGTGTCTTCAAAATATAGTCAAATATGCCTTGACAGTGAAGATTGGGCAGAGTAGGACCATAGGTAAGGAAAATAAAGGTGGAACAGAAAACGGGTTTGGGTCCTGTGCACTTCTAAACTCCTGGCAGTGATATTCTATATTAGGTAATACTGATAAATCATTTGGGAGGTCAGTTTTCTCTGTGCTGTCCCATAACACACACTGTAGTTCTGGTAATCCTTAACAAATGGGACAATCAAGTCCAATTGTGGTAGTCTTCTATAGGTTGATGTGTAGTGTATGAGTTTACGGCCAAAATGTTGCAACAATTCAAATACCTTTCAAGTATTACTTCAGATGAAGATTGACACTGTTAAATACATGGGCAAATTTATTTATGTCAGATTAAAGCCTTCATTTGAAATGAAAAAAAAAAAAAAGTTGCTAATTTGTTTGCATATTTTATACTTACAGGGAAGGTTACAAAACAAAGAGGATCTATATGACTTCCCAAAGAACTATGACTCCAAATCAAGTAACATTGCTGTCAGCAGTGAGACTTCAACTGTATCAGCTAAAGCAGCACCACCACCTGTTTCTGTGAAACCTGCCTTTGGGCGTCCCATCCTGAGAAACTCTCAACCAGCAGTCCCACCTGCAGAGGAGGAGGAGGAGGAGGCAACAAAGTTGGAAGAGGAAGGAAGCGAACAAGAAAATACTCCAAAATCTGTATTGAGGAAAGTAAAAATATTTGAGGAGATGGATCATAAGGCAAGGATGCAAAGAATGCAAGAGCTACAAGAGGCCCAGAATGCCAGGGTATAAAGAGATTTCTTCTAGTCCTGCTGTGCTTTCCCGCATATAGAACAGCATGCATCCTGAAAATGAAAGTCGTTCCCTTGCATTGTATTGCTTCTGGAGGGAGAAGTTTGGGAAACCATACATACAGACTTAGCATTGTGTGGGTTTGGATGTAAAAAGAGGACATATTTTAAAGCTTCCTATTGTAACTATAGAAAGCTATCTTCTAATAATCCTGTTGGTTTTGGCAATCCATTGTTTCCATGTGCACTTTGTATTACTACTCTAGCAAAAGATTATGTAATTGTAGGAATAGGAATAAGATCAGTTATCAATTTCTGCTTCAGTTGTTTCAGGTGTAGCTGTGACCTGCTAGATCCTACAGTCTAGGATTCCTGATGAATAGACTTAAAAAGAACAGTTATTTTCTCCTGCTTTCTTTTAAAGCTTGAAATAGCCCAGAAGCACCCGGATATTTATGCTGTCCCTGTCAAGACACAGAAGTCAGAACAGAACTGGCCCCAGCCTATGAGGTAAGGTGTATCCAGTTTAAAGCATTCTTTCTTGATTGTTTACTTCACCAGCAGGAGGAAAACTGACCTTGCCAGTTTTTATTCATACAAATAATCCTGCCTTGGTATATTGCTTTGTTGTTGTGCCTCAAAGATTACTGTAAAAGTGGGACAAAATTTCAGTGAACTCTTCTTGTTTTTCAGAACTTTTTTTGTTTGTTTTAGTTCATTCATAGTATTTGAGTTACCTAGGAAGAAACACTATGTTATTTTGCGGAAACATTAGCAGAGCCAGTTTTTTGCCCCAGTCAGTGTTACTCAGAAGCTTTACTGCATTCATGTCCTTTGATGTCTATTCTGTGGATAGATACTTAACGACTGTCAGTCTGTCCTAACAAATAATTGCTGTTTTAATTACTTAATAACACTTAATGACTTAATTGCTTATTCAGTTATGAATGTATTGTGTGGGTAGGGAAACTGAAGGTGAAACTTGCCTGAGGCCACCCATCAAGTCTCATGAAAGTAGGAGCCGCTCATTAAAATTCAGTGAGTTCTGGACTGGATGACCATTGTGTCATCTTACCCTACACACTGCATATTTCTATGACTTGAGCAGTCACCTGTGCAAGAGATAACACACTGTATGGTGGATTATGTTTTCTGCTCTGCAGGACTTTGTTTGTCTTAGCTCTTAGCAATAGCCAATAGAAAGGGGGCTTTTTTTTTCTAGTGAATTGGGTCCTTTGATGTCATAGTATATAATCTCCAATGCAAAAATGGAAAACATGAAGTGATTATTTTCAGGTTTTTGTAGGGGATTCAGAAAAACATAATTTTTTTAAATGGCCTTGGAAACTTTTTAGAAGTAATGATAAGTAATCTTTAACCACATATGCAGAGTGTTTACTTACATACAGATATAAATGCTGTTGCCTTTTTACAGGAATGTTAATGATTAGAGGGAGTGTTTAAGCACTGGGCAGTATGGAAGGAGGGTAACATCTTGGTCTTGTACAATGTGAGATTGCAGAAATCATGGCTTTTGAAACTGAGGAAATGACCTTCCTTGTCAGACTTTATTTCTATATATCTGCTTAGTGTCACATTAAATGGAGAGCACCACAGTGTATAAAAAGCAAATGTGGGTTATTTCTGCCTGCTTTCAAGGATAAGAGCCCTAGTAAGAGTCTTGAGTGAGGGGAGAAGGCTATTAATTTAAGAAATGTCACATAAGTCTTCAGACCTTGAGACAGGAAAGTGGGGATGCAAAAGAAGAAGCAGGCATAGAAAGAATCTGTTGCAAAAGGAACTGAAGAAAATACCACTTGGGGTAGCAGCAATGGCTGAAAACCTCTCTGCTCAGGGAATAAAGTGCTGTTAAGCTCTTGATGTGTGTGTGTCTGCAGGGGGGTGTTTGATAATTTTAAATTTGATCAGATCTGAACATTAGGGTTGAGCTTGATGGAAATAGGATGCCTCTCCAGGTGAGGTTACCATGGCTAGGCAATAGTCTATGGGCTAGAAGGGGTTTCATTTGCTCCATGTGCTTTTCTAGGTTGTACACAGCCATAAAGCCAACACCATATGTAATTATTTTTCAGCTTTTCAGAATGGAAGTAAACATTATCTCTCTCTCTTTTCCTGTCTTGCTGTGTTAGCTCCAGACCTCCAGAACCCCAGAAACCTCCTATTAGACCTTACCTAGAGAACCGTGGCAGTTATGGCAGCGATGCAGAGGAGGAGGAGGAGTACCGTCGGCAGCTGTCAGACCACTCAAAGAAGGGGTATTATGGACAGCCATCCAGATACAGAGACACAGAATTGTAGGCTTACTAGGATGTGCACATACAATGATGTTCTGAGGTTTCTTCCTTCACAGACAAAGTGGAACAGTAGTTAGCCTCGAAAAGCTATATTTTTATTGGGGGTAGTATTAGAGGGTACACTACTCAGCTTAGACATATCTATACACTGGAACTGGAAGAGTTCATTTTTGGGGATATTATTTTGTTAGTATCTAAGAAAATAAATCACTATTGCCTGAATGCTGTTGCCTGTTTTATAAGGACCAAATCCTGAAAGTTTGTGTTAATTCTTGGTATTTTCATATTTAACATAAAAATCCTTTTTTCCCTTTTATTAATGATGCCTTTTTAGACTATTCTGCTGTGTTATTAAAGTATGATGCCAGAGATACACTACTTAATGCAATAGAACTAAATGTGAAAGTGTATTTTAAGAACAGTAAGTGCCTTTAACAAGAAGCATCTTAAACTGTTTGTTTTGACATCTGATAAAATACATCTTTGGTGCAAAGCCATAACATGCTAAAAGGGGATTGACTGTTTTACCTGTCTTTTTTATCAGTTTCATAGTAACGATTTCCCTTGCATGTTCTTTTTCTAAGTTCATAGATGCATATGCAATATTTCATAAATACTGACTGTACATAATGTCCTGGTTTTGGCAATTGACTTGCTTGTTGGAAAAGACCAGGATGTGCTTAAACAGAGAAAATTATGTAGAAATTCAATCATGTATTAAAATTTAGACAGACTGCAAATGATAAAGGATGTATTCTAGACAAACCTTGTGTGTCTTATTTTTATTTTGAACAGTATTAGTCTTCTAGAGTCTCTGACTTTCATGAGTATACTTACAGTGGTATGCTGTTCAGTGTCTCATCTCCTCCTATTCATCTCCAGAGACAGTCACTCAACTGATTCCCTGGGCAGCCTGTTCCAGTGTGTGATAACCCTTTTGGAAGAACTTTTGCCTAACAGCCAATCTAAGCCTCCCCTGGTGCAACTTGAGGCCGTTTCGTCTCATCCTGTCACTTGTTACTTGGCAGAAGAAACAAACACCCATCTGTCTCACTACACCCTCCTTTCAGGTAGCTGCAGAGAGCAATAAGGTCTCCCCTCAGCCTCATTTTGTCCAGGCTAAACAACCCCAGTTCCCTCAGCTGCTCCTCACAGGACTTGTTGAATATCTAGACCCTTCACCAGCTTCCTTGCTCTTCTTTGGATGCGCTCCAGCAGCTCAACGTCCTTCTTATAGTGAGGAGCCCAAAACTGAACACAGCATTCAAGGGGGGTCTCACCAGTTGTCCTGGGTTAAGCTGAGATAGTTAACTTTCTT